ATTTCTCCCTAAATTCTACAGTAGAAGGCAGATGGCCATTATTGGCAGTACTAACCCTGAGGAAATTGAAGCTTAGGTCATTTAGTAAATTATCCTAGTAGACTGCACCCAGAAGAGCCATCAAGCAATTTCAATTTTCTTTGAGTCCAATACCTACTACCCCCCCCCCAAGGGTGAATTCTTGGCCAGGTTATCTGCAAGGCTGCCATTAAAAAGATAGCTATTGCATAATGGTTACGGGACTGGACTCCCATGTAGTTGACTGCAGTTTGAGTCCCAGACCTGGTGGCTTAAAATTCACACCAGGCACATGTGTGTGCATTCCCAAAATCCCTAGAAGAGAGTGGAGGAGAAGGGATTGTGGTATGACCATATCCCATGGAGGGGTGATTTCTCACATTCTGTCTCCCTGGTGAGCGTATACATCCTATAGCAAAAAATCTCTCTTAAAAAAAAAAAAAAGAAAAACGTTTCTCCCAGTTCAGACTATGTGGGACTGAGGTGATTGTGGGGAAAGACTCTATAGACCCAGAAAGCATTGGTTTTCCATCTTTCTTTCTAAGGAAAATCCCTCGAGGCCAAGTTTGGTGGGTTCGTCATGGCTGCAAAGACACACATCTGAAATTAGAAGCAAAGTAACTTTAATTATAACCAATCCTAACCTCAAGATTTTCTTTCTATGATTGTAAAAGTAAAAAAAAAAAAAAACCTGTTATTAATTATAATTAATTAGAGTGCAAATGGAAGAAATTTAACTGGAACTTGGTTATGCAAGGGAGAGAATTACTGGTAAGATACTGAGATAGTTTCTAGAACCAGGGACAGGAACATAACAGAGCTCAGGAATGTCAGAAGCCTGGACCTGAAACACAGTGGAATTCTTCCTAGCCTGCTACTGGTTCTGCTTCTCTTTGGCAAACAAAAGTCTGTCCCACACTTATTCAGCTGTCCCACCAACTCTCGAACTCCTGTATCTTATGTTTCAGCCATTGGAGAGACATGTCTCAGTTTCACTTCCAAAAATCTGGAGAAAAGACTGATTTAGTGCAGTTTGGTTCAGGTGTCTAAGGAATCCACTTAACCTGGGGTGTGGACATATCCTATACACAAGGCAGCTCTTGTGTTCCTGGGATGATGAGATGAAAGGTTCTCAAAGAGGTGCTGAGGGCAGGGCAGGGCAGCCAGTCCATGAACACTCAATACACACACACACCCCACAGAATATCTGGACCAAAATAATAATAATAATAATAATAATAAAAATAAGAGACAAGAGGAGAACACAAGAACTTGCCTCCCAAAGGCAACCAACTGAAATTTTCTAGTATGTTTCCTAAGTCTATTTTTTGACTGTTTCCACTGTGCGGTTGAAATTATATCACATATACTAAATTAGAGCACAGCTACCAGAGACAAAGTCTAGGTTTTAGGTGGAAGATGTTTTGAAGTGGGGGTTATTGTTATAATACTACTCAGCATTAAAGGGTTCTTTAGTTTTTTCAATTAAAAACCCAGTTCAGGACTGGCCCCATGGCCTGATGGTTAAGAGAGTCAGATCCCACTTGGTTGACCACAGTTCAAATATCAGCTCTGATGGGTTGAAAAATATGCCAAGTATTTGTGTGTGCCTCAAATCCCGATAAGGTAGGGAAATAGAGACAGGATTATGGAATTGCCATGCCCCCTGTGGGGTGCTTTCTCTCTCTCTATCTCTGTTTTTCTCTGGGAAGTGAACGTGCCCTCTGGCAATTATGAAGAGAAACAAAATCCAATCCAAAGTAGAGTACAAATAATCAGGACATTGGTTCTGAGTTTCAAAGTTGTAGGGCACATATTTATACAGAGATCTCTTTAACACTCTAAACTTAGCATGCTTCTCCCCAGGTTAAAATTTTGTTCATCTCAAGTAAAACTCAAACTTTGACACAGCAAACATTACCTTTTTGTCAACTGACCTTTGCCCTTCTAGGCAAAGTCATCTGATTGAACTCTGCTCAGTGACTCATTTATTTACTCACTCAGGGGAGAAGTTAGGAAGGCCGGTTGCAACTTGATTGGATGAAGCCAAAAGCTGACAAGTTGAGCCTCTTCTCATTCCACTTTTTTCTGAAAATTGATACCAACAACTTCAGTACTATCTATTTAGTGGACTCTTTCTCCTCTTTGCCGTCTACTCTGTAGTGTCCTTAGGTCCCAGTAGAGAAAGTGGAATGGAAGAAGTGCATCCACGCCACTCCTGCCCCTGTCCATCTGAGCCTGCTTCAGCTGCCGCTGCTGCAGGCTGGCCTCGACCCTGTGCACTTCCTCCGGCTCTGTCCACTCCATTTCCAGACTGCTAACATTGCTAGATTTAATGAGTCAGGCCTGCCTGCAATGCTTCTGAGCCACTATGCCATTGTCAAAATTGACATTTCACTTTTCCAGTTGTTGAGTTGCCTTCTGCCTGTGTAATTGCAAGAAGGATCTTTTCCTTCGGGCTCACTGCTCATTTAATAATGGAGCCACAATAGGAAAATGCATGGAGTCAGTGAAATTAATTATGGAGAACACTTACTGCCTCTGTTGTGGTGTTTGCACCAAGGTCACTCTGAGAAGAGAGGCTCGTGATCCTCAGATGAACAAGGAACTGGGTGAGTAGGTCCAGACCCAGGCAGGTCTTTAGACCCAGCATTAGAGGGGAGTGTATTATGATCATGCCTGCAAAGATTTTTATTTACCAAGAACAAAATGACATAGGATGACTCTCTGTACTAGCTTCTGAGCTGGGCATTGGAGATTTAAAAATGAATAGGCTGAAATTTCTGCCATCAGGTAATGCATATGATCAAGAGCAGTGTTGCTTCAGTCAGCACGCTTGACAGTTGGGGCCGGCTCATACTCTGTTGGGGCAGAGCTGCTTTGTGCATTGAAGGATGTTTAGCATCATCCCTGGTCTCACCAGACACCAGTAGGACCTCCACTCCCAAGTCATGACAATAAGAAATGCCCCCCAGACAATGCTAAATGTCTTGGTTGAAAAGCACTTCGATAATGTTGAAGCAGGTAGTTTTGGATATACAAAGGGAGTAGTTTAGTAGAAAGCAGAATCGATGCTTTGGGAGCACAGAGGAGGAGGAGAGAGGGGGCAGGAGGTCTCAAGGAAGATGATAGCACAGGATGCTTCTGCCAACTGGCAAGCCAAGCTCCAAACAGACTCTGGCATGGAAGGTGGTAGTAGAAGGAGCAGGTGTGGGGGCCTGGAGCGTGTTGGGCCTGGGGACAGGGTGAGCTTGGTCACCTACCAGTGCAAGAGGGAGGTGTGTTGTGGGCCTGAGGTGGGGGTGCAGGGCACAGGGAGGAAAGGGAATATATCAACTTCACTGGGATAGAAGAGAGAGGAGGATTAGAGGGAAGGGAACCTCAGTTTCCTACTGCAATGGACGCTGATGAACTCTGTGGGAAAAGAGATTCCTTGGGACATCACCTGCACCACAGTTTCAGAAGGCAGACTCCCTGCACATTTTCTACTTAGAATAGGCGTGTGGCCCATAAACCGGAGGAAGGACAGCCGATTCCGGGTCTTCCAGTGTGATTTAGGTGGAGGCTGTCCGCTGCTTCTCTCAGAGAGCTGTGAGATAACACTGCCTAGGACGGAGGGCTGGACTGAGGCCCCGCTGTCCTCTGCGGTCTCGTCCTCTGCCAGCAGTCACCGAGATTCTATTCTGGGTTCTGTCTGTCTCACATCCTGTCTCCACCGAAGGCTGCAGGGAAGCTCTGCCTGTTGCTGCCTGAATGTGATTCCTGTTTTCCAAATTCTTTGGTGATGGCATCATACCAGGGGCCAGGTCACAGCACTGGGACCAGAGGGCAGTGTCACCTGTCAGTCCTGGGGAAAGGGAAGGCCTTTAGGAAGGAACTCAGTGGGAGAAGGGACTGACTTTTCTCTGTTTCAAATTTTCTTTTTTATATCTGGGATTACAAAAATAGGGCTATGTAGGGAACATACCTTGGGCTCCCTGTTGTAAATGGGCCCCATGGAGGTGAAACACCACTGCTGGTTTTATCTACAGTAGATGGATCGGAGTGGGTGTGAGTGGGTTCCTCAATGAGGCCCTACAGGAGTGGAGGAAAGTTCCAGTGTCCCACGGGGATGTCAGGAGTTGTACATGCTCTCTGCTCAGAGCAAAGCAAGAGGATCCCCAGACCTGGGAGATTCCCAGTCTGTGCAAAGTAGAGGGCCACAGGGCCTTCATAGCTGTGTCTCCCAGGGATCAAAGCTGTGCCTGCCATGTTCCAGGTGCTCAGACAACATTGCATTACACAGAGCAACTGATCTAGTCTAATCCACAACACTAACCCCTGTCCAGTCTTGGGAAAGCTGCACTGTTCCCATCCATGAAATGGAGATTTATTTTTTGGCAGGGGGTAGGGTGAGGCAGAGAGCACATGTACGCACTGGAGAGAGATGAAGAGACAGAGAGAAAAAGGAAGGGAGAATGCACTCATACAGGAGAATGGTCGCACTGCAACCCTTTCTCCTCCATTCTCCTCTAGGCACTTTGGGCATGCACACACACACACATACGTGCCCAGAGTGTTTTTCAAACCTCCAAGTCCAGGGCTTAAACCATGCTGTCAGCCACATGGGATCCAGGGCCGTAACCACCAAGTCACTGGCTAGCCCAAAGTGAGGATCTTAACATGTTAGTTTTGGAGTACTTTGAAAGTTAAATGAGAAAATGTATGTAGGTATTCTATAAGTGTTAAAAAGATAGGTAACCCTAAGAATGAAATGTTAGACCGCTCTATTGTTGCTACTTTGCAACTATTTCAAAGGTTAATTTAGAAGCTGGATCTGCCAATTTTCCCACGGGCATTGCTCAATTCTAATAGTTATGCTGTGCAAACATACATTATCTACCTGGAGCCCCGTCAAGCTATTTTAATCTCAAAAAAAAAAGAACAACTTGCATTTTTTTTTTTTTCTGTACTGGCCTTGGTGTCAAGAGAGGTTGTTCAGAGTTTATTAGAACGTCCCTGTCTGGAGGGGGCATACACAGGCGGAGAGCAAGCTGGACAGGAAGGGAGCAGAACTTCATTCTTGGTAAGGCAAACTTTACTTCCCCATTATTCTTCCTTAGTTATTAGCTAATACATTTTTGAAATCTTTAGTGCATTCCATAAAATCTTGAGAAAAACAAGGCTTAGGTTTGAGGCTCCCTGGAGGCAGGTATGCAGGGGCGGAAATGTGGGCATGTATTATAGTTTCCCATTGCTACTGTAACAGATTGCCACAAACGTGACAACTTAACAGACACGAAGTCACCCCCTTACAGTTCTGGAGGTGAAACGTGTGAAATGAAGGAGTCCGCAGGCTACATTGCTGGAGGAGGCTCTAGGGGAAAGTGTTCCCTTCCCTCTCCTAGCTTTTAGAGGCGGCCTGTTTCCTGGATCATGGCTGCCTTGCTCTGACCTCTGCTTCCCTCCTCCAACTGTATTCTCTGACTTGGACCCCCCCTTCCCTCTTTTGTGATGATATGGATGCACCAAGATAATGCAGGATCATCTTCCCATGGCAGGATCCTTGATCTAGTCATGCCTTTGAAGTCCCTGTGTTCTGAACGGAATGGTTGCATATTCCAAGATCCATATGTTGGAGCCCTAACCCCCACATGATGATATGTGGAGAAGTAATTAGAGTTAGGGTGGGCTATGAGGTAAGGCCCCCCCGATGAGACCAGGGGCCTTATAAGAGGGAGCCCAGAGACAGTGCCATGTGAAGGAGCATTGAGAACGTGCCATCTGCAAGCCAAGATGAGCACCCTCACCAGATACCAACGTTGATGACATCTATTTTTTTAAAATTTGCCATAGGGTACATAACACTTGCCAGAGATGGGTGAAGAGAGAGAGAAAAAGAGAGTAAGAGAGAGGAAGCACCCCTCCCCGCTCCACTGGGACGTGGTCATGCTCTAATCCTGTCTCTGCCATTTGTCCACCCTATTGGGGTTGAGGACACATATACACATGCTTGACACACTTTTAAGCTGCCAGGGGCAACATTTAGCCATGTGGGATCCAGTTCCTTAACCACTAGGCTACAGGTCTGGCCTCCCTGACATCACTTTGATCTTGGACTTTCCAGCTTCCGGAACCATGAGAAACTAAGTTTGCTTTGGAGTCTACGGTATTTTTTTTATGGTAGACTCAGCTAACCTAAATCCCATATAATATCACATATTCACAGGTTCTGGGGATTACAACCTGTCTTTGGGCAGCCCTTACCCACTCATTCTTAGAGAGTCCCAGCTGAGGAAAGCTAGGATGTATAATATTGCCTGGAGAACCTTTTCAGTGTCAAAGACCAAAGTGTCCTGTTGATCATTTCCTGACATATCACTCTTCATTCCTGGCTACCCTACTGTGGGGGTGGGCAGTCAAGGTGGACAAGGCCTTGCCTTTTGCCCACTCATGCAGGAAGGGGTCATGCACAGAACACCAGATGAACTCTCTGAAGGCTCCAGTTTGGAATTCTGGGTCTAGCTACACTCATACTCCACTCTTACCTGTGCTTTTGGCATTTCCTCATTCATTCATTTATTCACATATTTATTTTAATAAATCTACAGGAGTTCCCCTCCTGGTGATCTCATACTATTGTGCCTACTCTGCATCAAGTACTGTTCTAGGGGAGAGAGGCACATCAGTGAATAAACGGGGGGATAACCAATGTCTGTGCATGAGTGCATTTATCAGTGACTGTACCTACTTACACAGTCTCTGTTCCCCTCCTCTCCTTAAAAATGGGGCCACTGATTCTCTTCCATGAAGGCCTATCTCTCTTTCCTCCAATCCATCCAGAGAGTCAGCAGAGTTTATTCTACTACAGGCTAGGGCCTGGGCACTACAGCATGGGCTGGGTTTGCTGTAAGTCCATTAATATCACAGCCTCATTTGGAAAACATACTCCACTCTTACCTGTGCTTTTGGCATTTCCTCATTCATTCATTTATTCACATATTTATTTTAATAAATCTACAGGAGTTCCCCTCCTGGTGATCTCATACTATTGTGCCTACTCTGCATCAAGTACTGTTCTAGGGGAGAGAGGCACATCAGTGAATAAACGGGGGGATAACCAATGTCTGTGCATGAGTGCATTTATCAGTGACTGTACCTACTTACACAGTCTCTGTTCCCCTCCTCTCCTTAAAAATGGGGCCACTGATTCTCTTCCATGAAGGCCTATCTCTCTTTCCTCCAATCCATCCAGAGAGTCAGCAGAGAGTTTATTCTACTACAGGCTAGGGCCTGGGCACTACAGCATGGGCTGGGTTTGCTGTAAGTCCATTAATATCACAGCCTCATTTGGAAAAAAAAGGACTAATGTTTCCCATCTCTAAAGAACTTTAGGTTGCTGGATCCAACTTGTTTTCTAGTTTGGGGGAAACATAGCTCAATTTCCTCATCTCTGCATTGGAAAGCATCAAAGGTTATTGTGGAGAAAGAGACCAGCAGATGGCGTTAATGGTTGTCACTGAGCTCCCATGTCATTGACCCTGTTTCAGTCCCAGATCCGGTGATTTCAACTCATGCTGGGTGCATGTGTGTGTGTGCTCAAAATTCCAAGAGGAGACTGGAGGAGAAGGGATTGCAGCATGGCCATACCTCGGGGGGTGATTTATCACTTTCTTTCTGTCTCTCTCTCTCTGGTGATCAAAAAAATCTCTCTTAAAGAAAAAAAAAAAGAAAAGGTTATTGGGATGAAGAGAGCAATATATACACAGTACCAGGCATAAATAGGAGTTACGATTGTATAGTTATGCTTGTTGGTCTCATTGATGCTCTACATTTGGCCACCCACCTAAGTGTCTAATAGCCCCAGCAAGAGCTACTCTGGTTGTGTCTGACGTAACAAGATGGGTCTTGCTGGATCTGAGTTAGGGCCATTTATATACACGTTTGTCTTTTTATGTTTCTGCAGAGTCTCTGAATGAAGAGATGGATTTATTTTCCAGGTGGCATCTAAATTGCCACATGGTCAGAATCTGCCTGGTCTTTGTTCATTAAACATGTTCATTCTCAAGCTCCATTTCTGTTTGATTTCAGCCAGAATTCATAGTTGTCTGCAGAGCCCCTGGCTTTCTGGTAGACTTTGCATGCATCAAGTGTTTAATGGTCAAGACCACCCTGAGGCCAATTGGCAGTGTCACCTTCTGATGGAGGAGGAAATGGAGTTCTACCGAGCTGTGCTCTTCCAGAGGAAAGGGAGGACAGACCCAAGGCCTGGGTGACTAGAGCCAGGAATTGCTGGGTGCCTTCGGCCACCCTTGGTCTGGATGTCAGAAAGACACAGTCAGACAGGAGCCAGGGGAGTGTGACTTCTAGGTGGGAATGATCTCAGTCTCCTCATTTCTATAGCAGTGTAAAATACATTAGTTTCCTTACCCTGGTGATCACATTTTCATTTCTTCTTTGCAAATGCTTCTGGAGCAATAGCCATTTGAGAACATTTATTGCTGATATGAAAACTCCAAGAGGGTGAATTCAGAGGATATCTGTTGGGAGAGAGTGGAGCTTCTCATAGTGGAGCAGGCCTGCCATGTGGACTTAGTGGGTGAGGATGAGAAAAGGGATGTGGTGGAGACCCCCAACTCCAGTCACAATTGATATGGCTAAGTCCTCTTCCTGGCCTCAGACACTACCAATTTCCTACCCAACACACACAAAGTGTGCAGGTTTTGTGTTTTTCCACCCTTGATCCTCAAGCTTTGTTTTGAAGGATAATGGTAGAGTACAGTCGTACAAAGATAGTAACTGTCTTGAGACAGAGACATGGATAATCCTGAGAAGGGAAGTAGTGTTTCGCCTTTAGATAAAGAAAAGAGCCGTGCACAGAAGACAGCCTCCAGAAAGTGTGTGGGAGGATCAGTAAGTAGAGAACAGGGGTGGGCAAGGAGGAGAAGGGCCTGGGTTTGGGAGCCAGACCCCCAGAATCGCGTTTCCACTCTGGAGGCATGACCTCAGGAAAGGTACTAACTTCGCCATGTCTCAGTGGACTCATCTGTAACCTGAGTGAGTCTCATCTGATGGTGATAACTGTACTCTGCTTACTGTGTTATTGAGGACTGAATAAGAGGGAGCTTACAAAATGTAACCTGTTCAGAACACTGCCTGGTGTACAGTAATTATTCAAAAATGCAAACTGTTATTAGCAGTGAGTTAAGCTATCTAAGTCAAGTTGACAAAAGAGTTAAGAACACTTAAGCCTAGAATGGTTCGTCTTTTGTGTACAGTCAGAAGATGACTATCTAAAGAATATTAGCCAGTGTAGCTCAATTTCTGGGAGGTCACGGGAGGATGTAAGAGGAAAGAAGCGGCCTTTGCTTTCAAGGACTTCTTCTTATGATACAAGAAGGCAGCAGACCTACCTTAGATGGAAAAGATAAAGTATCTATTTATATATCTATCTTTCTATCTAAATTATATATTTGTATATATGTGTGTGTGTACAGATATATATACACACATGTATATATGTACACACACATACATATATATATGAAACAGATATTTATACACTCATATACACATATATTTTTAAATTTATATCTTTTGTATGTGAGAGAAAGAGTGAGAAGGAGAGAAGAAGAGAGGGAGAGAGAGGAAAACAAGTACCCTCAGCAGGGGCTCACACATCAGTCCTCTTAGCCTTCCCAGCCAACCAGGATCATGGCCTTATATACCTGGTGCACACAGGTGGGTAGAGAAACCAAACTCATGATCTTCTATATGGATTCAGTTTCATTTGGACAGTGTGATACCACTATGCCACCACGCTGGCCCGAAGCAGACTTCGAGGTACCAAGTGACTTGTGCAAAGGCACAGAGCCAGTGCATGGTTGGAGGCAGGCCTTGGGCCTGGGCAGCTCCCTCTGGGAGCTCAGGGATTTGAAACCTGGGTGCCCTTTTCTTTCCCTCATCCCGAGTCTTTCCCTAATCACGAGTATCAGGAAACGGTAGCATGAGTTGGAAACCATGAACAAACCCATCTTCCTGATGCCTCTTGTCCCTTGTTTATCAGCAAATGCATTCAGTATAGAACATGAGAAAAACAAATCAAAAGACTATTTTTCCCCCATAAAGGTTCTCCCTGGTCTGACCTTTGAATCTGGTCCTGAATCACAGGGATGAGTCCTGAGAGAAGGCGTTTGCATGCTCAGGCTGGAGAGGGACAGTCTAGGAGGGAGGAGACTACCCTGCTAGGCTGTAGGGAGGTGGGTGGGTCTCTGGGGTGGATAGCACTGGAACAGCTGGGGTTGAGATAACCCTCTAGGTGCCTGGGTGGAACTTAAACTTTCCTTCATCACCAGCTGCACAGCCTTGATGGTCCTGGCATCTGTGTGTGTCCCCTGAGCCCTCAGCATCTCATCCCTAACTCTGATGTAAATGGATGGGAAGGCTTGGGTTGCATGAAAGGACAGCTCTGCATTTCTGAGTGACTCCTCTGAGTCTCAGTGCTCCCCACAAGTTGCCTTGCCCTTCAAGCCACCTCATGAGGTAGGAGGGAGGGTGGGGCATAAGGGTCTCTAACCCCATCAATCCCGTTCCTCCCTGTCTCGAGTCTGACCTTCTTGTTTTTTTAACTTTCAGTTCTCTCCTTCCCCTCTCAGCCTGGCTTTGCCTTTAGGTGTGGTGCATTGCCACTGCAGGACTGTGGAATCGCTTTTCCATGATGAGTATTGGAGTGGTCCTTTCCTAATCACCAAAGAAGGGCCTACAAAGTTACACCGAAGAGGCAAACGGAGGAGTTGAAGGGGTTGCAGCAGTAAAACACAATGCTCTGAGACTGGTTCATGTAGGAAGGGTACAGGTCTGTATCTCAGGACCTCCCTGAGCAACTGGGAACATGGGTTCCTGTGATCCCTGGCTGGCTGAGCCTAGGGTGGCTCATGGCACCAAGAACCTCGTAGGGCTGTTGTTACTCTCTCTCTCTCTCTCTCTCTGGCTCATGGAAGAAATAAATACATAAACTTAAAAAAAATAGAGAGGTAGGGAGCCAGTAGGTGGCAAAGGGGCGAAGGTGCTAGATTCCCATATGGCTGACTGCAGTTTGAGTCCTGGACTTGGTGTCTTGAAACTCATGCTGGATGAGCACGCATGTGTGTGTCTGGCCAAAATCCCAGGAGGAGATTGGAAAAGGATAAGGAATTGTGGTATGGCCATCTCCTATAGAGTGTAATTTCTTACTTTCCCTCTCACTGACTCTGAATCTTTCCAAAAAACACACATGCCCTATGACAAAAACAAAAACAAACAAACAAACAAAACCTCCCCCCAAAAACAAACAAACAAACAAGAAAATGCTAATGAGAGCTAGCTTGTAGCTTGATGGTGGCTAAGGTGACTGAATCCCTCATGGCCTATTGTGAGGTTTGAGTCCCTGACCCGTGGCTTGAAAATCATGGTGGGCACATGTGCGCAAATGCCCAGAATCCTGAAAGGAGGGTGAGATGGAAAAGGGATTGTGGTGTGAGCATCCCCCACGTACAGTGCTTTCTCTATCTCTTTCCAATAAGCGTACATACTCTCTGGAAAATTGCAAAAAAAAAAGATTAAAAAGAGAGACAAATGTATGATTGTAGAATATAGAGCTTCATAGGAAAGAAAACTGATAGGGGCTGAAGTTCTTGAGTAAAAACTCGAATGCTGTGATAAATAGATTAATGAAATAATAAAGTAAGTTTAAAAATATGCACGTGTTTGGGGATACCGGGCGGCATGGAGGTTAAGGCACTGGATTCCACATGGCTGAATGCACGGTTCAAGTCCCAGATCTGCTGGCTTAAAAATCATGCGAGTGCTTGTGTGTGTATGCCCAAAATCCTGAAAGGAAACTGGAGGAGACTGTGGTGTTACCCTCTGCCCGGGAAGTGATTTCTCACTTATGCACTCGCTCGCTCTCTGGTGAATGCATGTGCCCTATTGAAAAAACAAAAACAAAAACAAAAACAAAAAAAACAAGTCAACAACAAAAACACATTTTTATAGAACTAAAATATTATTAAGTATTTAAAATATATATTCATATATTAATAAAATGTTACTAAGGCAATAAATACAACCAAATGTGAGTATTTATTGTACTTGAAAAGGGAAAATATTAATTATATAGTTAATATATAATTAATATCTATTTAATATCTCTCATGTCCTGAAAACAGATCAGGAGGTTCCTCTGGAGGAGGTGTTTGCAGATGTGGTTTATAATAATTAACATTGTTCTTCACTGTTTGCAGCTCTCTGCCCTCTGGTAAGATTGCACTCCCCAGTCTAAGGTGTGACTCATTTCGGTCAATGCCAGGTGAGCAGAACTCATGTATGTTAAGTCTGGTGGAGGCTTAGGGGCCAATGAGTGAGCTGCCATACTTCTTCCCCCTGCCAGTTATGGCCAGTTAATCCAGCCAGGAGTGAGGACAGCGAAGAGCAGACAGAGCCTTCAGCCCATGGGCACCCAGCATAAGCAAGAAGTAAAACTTGATTATTTTGTTATATTTTTTAAAAGCCTATTTTATCTTATTTCTGCCATGAGTGAGAGACACAGAGAATGAGAGAATGAGAGTGAGAGAGAGAGAGAGAGAGTGAAAGAAGCGGGGGAGAGAGAGAATGCAAGAAACAGAGATACAGCACAACTGACAGACTCCACGTTTGCGATCCACTCCCAGCCTCAGCCAGCCCAGACTGGTCAAGACGCAGACACAGGAGTCAGCTGTGGCACAGCAGTGATGCAGCTCTCTGTGCTGCTGGACACCACATGGAAGGGTCCCAGGCTCATGTCCAGAGAGCTCCCTGAGTGCACGGGGCATGTGTGCACATTAATTCTATATTAATTGTATAGTTAACATATAATTAATATCCATTTAACAATTCTCATGTCCTGAAAACAGATCGGGGGTTCCTCTGGAGGAGGTGTTTGCAGATGTAGTTTATAGTAAGTAGCATTGTTCTTCACTGTTTGCAGCTCTCTGCCCTCTGGTAAGATGCACTTCCCAGTCTAAGGTGTGACTCATTTCAGTCAACGCATTTTAGGGGAAGTCTTCTCTAGGTGTGAGATCCTTTCCAAGATCTCATTGCAAAAAATTTCCACTCTGGCCCTGACCTCAATCTCCTCAGTGCTGTATCGTAAGTACCTTGTAGGTATGCAGTGTTTTCCTCTCCGTGCACTTGACCCTTGGCATTGTTGAAAACGTAAAGAAGTAAAAGTGAATGTAAATCATTTCCCCACCAGAGTTTACATTTGTGAAGGGATTGCAGTAGTTCCTGATTTTCTGGAGACACGAATTTCCCAGGGACCTGTTCTATTCTAGAGTCAAGTCTATTAACATTCCTGTTGTACCCATAGACTTGTTCTGGTTAGGGCAGGGTCACAGAGCCAGCAACAGCTGAGTAGGTGCTGAGCCAGCAATGAGGACCCTCAGCGAGGGCATCAGTGGTTCCAGATCCTAGCTGGGGTCCCTGAGAGCATAAAGACCTGAGGACTTGGAACCACATGGTTTATTTGGGAACAATCTCAAGGAGCGGGAGAGAGGAAACAGAGAAGAGGGAAACACCAGTGTAAGGGTGTGTAATTGAAGTCGCTGCTGCAGGCGGTGGGGCCATCCCTCCAGGCTGTCTGAGAACACACAAGTGGCTGTTGGGAGCTGTCAGTAGCATGGGCAGAAGGGTCTTGGCTCCTGTCTCCATCCTTACTTGACATACCCCTTAGGACTGCTCAGCCCCCTCCTTGTCTGAGCTAAACCTGTGCATCTGGGCTGGGAGAACGGCACCACCCTGATGGAGCAGAAAGCCAGACACGCTGAGTGTGCTCCAGGCATGATTATGGGGCCCTCAGCCAGCCAAAGCCCCTGGGAATATCCACAGCCATAGTGGCTGAAATCTGAGGTGAAGTTGAGAGCAGCAGACATCATGACAGCCATTTCTGCCTTAATTCTCTAGTGCGATGTGCAATAAAAACATGTGTGCCCAGTTTTTAAACATACCACCGTCTTCCTGGGAAGGCAAGCTGATTGTCAGCCTTGTCCCTTACATGGGTGAATGTGGGTAGGTGGGGTAGGAGGTGGCAAATCCATTGTACTCAGTCTTCTATCAGGGAGTCACCAGATTTGGGCTCTTCTCTATGACTGGGGTAACTGAGACAACACAAGCAACTTTCCAGGTACTCTTTCTCCCTGCATTTTTCTAACTTACCATTCCCACGTCAGGCCTACCCAGCTCTTGCTTGACCTGGCCTTGGTATCTCCTTCATCCTGCATGGTCCCTGCACCCTGAACATGAGATCCAGATGGGGGATTTGGCAGGGGATGCTCCCACAGTCTGGTGTAGAAACTACGTCCTTCAGTGTGCACAGCTTCCTGGTCAGACATCTCAGCGGCTCCGAGATGAGGCTTAGAACTGGCAGGGATGCCGCTGAGTTCACGTTTCTTTTTGTAATATGCCTTCTGTAGAAGAGAAATTGATTTTTTAAAATAAACAGGCTTTGTGGAGAATGTATACATATGTATGCTGTCATTATTAGGCTTTGCAAATCCTTTCTTCCCTAAAGAATTGTCACAGCTGGGCTGCTGTGTTGCAGATGTGCAGAGATTGGTGGCTGAGGGGAGGGGAGGCCAACTAGGCCCTTCAACACCTCTGAACTCCTGTGCCTCAGGGATGGGGTGTCCTTGAGACATACGTATTCTTTTAAATTTTGCAATCAACCACTGTATATAATTATAGGACACAAAAGAAAGTTTCCCATCCAGAATATAATGTATATTGGCTCAAAGATACTATCATACGTATTATCAACAAATAATTTCCCATTTTGTGTTTTTAAAATGTTTTGCTTCTTTCTTTTCCCCTTTGACTCCCTCCCTCTCACCCTGCACCATTTCCCGCCCTCCTCCCACCCTGTCTCTGGCGTCCATAGTTGCTCTCCATGCCTTTATACCATCCAGTATTTCAATTTCTGTCAGAGTGCGTATTTAAAGAACTTTTCCAGGAAAGAAAGAGCTGTGGAGGATATGCTTCTGCAAAGACAGATAGAGCCTTCAGCATTGATGTTGAAAATGGGCATGGTGGCACCTGTATTCAAAACAGCAATTGTACTGATCTTCATTGATCCCAAGTGTAACACAGGATATATATATATATATAAAAATAGTATATATATATACTATTTTTGAGAGGGTTTTGCTATAGGGCGCATACGCTCGTCAGAGAGACAGAGAGACAGAAGGCAAGAAATCACACCCCCCTCCCCAGGGGGGATGGCCACGCTTCAATCCCTTCTCCTCCATTCTCCTCTCAGGATCTTGGGCACACACACACACGCGCCTGGCCTGAGTTTAAGCCACCAGGTCCAGGACTCGAACTGCGGTCGACTACATGGGAATCCAGCAACATAGCCATTACACCAACTGATGGTCCCAAACACAGGATATCAATACAATTGTTTTAGTCTGTTTTCTGTTTCTAGGATGCATATCATGAACTGGGTAACTTACAAAGAAAAATAATATATTCGGCTCACAATTCTGAAGACCCAGGGTTGATGGGCTGCACCTCTGAGGGCTTCTTGTTGGTGAGAGATCTTTGCAGAGTGCCAAGATGGCACAGGGCATCACATGGAGAGAGGGTAAGAGCAGGTGTCAGCTCTGGTCTCTCTCTTCTAAGACCACCAGGATTCATTCATGGGAGCCCCATCCTGATGACCTTATCTAATCCTAGTTACCTCTCAGAGGCCCCACTTAATGCTCTGCTCAGATTAAGTTTCCACCCTCTTAAGACCATTATCATGAGAATAAAATTTCAAAGTCGGTTTTGTCAGAACCATTCAAACCCTAGGAATGATGTAGCTGCATATAAACAAACTCTGAGAGACCTTTGTGATGGCTCCCTATATATGTCTCTTTGTCTGAGCTATAGTACCCAATTATTTAACTGAATCTCTGGACAAGTATTTTGCAGATGTGGTTATGGTTTATAATCAGTTGACTTTAAATGGGCCTCATCCAGGCAGCTGAAGGTGTTAGGAACACAATCTGAGGTTTCCCAGCAAGGAAGAAACTTCCTCTAGATGCTGCATTAACTCCTACCTGAGTCTCCATCCTGCTGGCTTGCCCTGAAGATTTCAGACTTGCCAACTCCACAGTCAATGAGCCAATTTCTCAAAATAAATCTCTTTCCATCTAATAACTATATAGAGACAAATACAGATAAATGTCTTAGTGGATATAAAGGCTTGTCAAAAAGTTAATAGATAATGCATGTCATGAAAACACTGTATGTGGATTTCAAAAAAATTTTGCAACAGGATAAACTGATACTCATGACAATTTCATTTTCATGAACTGTTTGAAATCCTCTCATATTTCTATCTACATCTGCACCTCCACATATAATCTCTCTACAGCTGTCATAGGCCCTTCCTTCACTCTCTCAGGGCCATTCCCCCATCTTCATCCACAGCCAAAATTCCAAACAACATTTCCCTAGTTATGTCCAGGGCAAATATGTCTCTGATGCTCTAGGCCAGAGGCCTTTGAAACAAATCCAGTCTGTTGTTTCCTTTGCAAATCAGTTCTATTGCACATAGCCAAATCAGTTGGTTTATATATTATTTGTTACTAGTTTCCGGCCACAACCACCAGAGGTGAGCCATTATAGCTGAGGCTGTGTGATCCCCAATGCAAAAATACCTGGCTATTTCTAGAAATAATTTGCTGACTCCTGCTCTGGACCCAAATAACCAACTTCTCTATGCAATTTTCTTGCTCTTCCCATGAGATCTCAAAGCCACATAGACTAAGCCAGTTGCTCCTCCTTCTTCCTTAGTGCCTTCTGTCTCAGGGACAATGTCTGTTTCCACCTATTTGCCTTGATCAGAAACCTCAGGATTGTTGTGACTTTCCTTGCCTTTCCTCGTATTCCAATAGTCAGGCTACATTGGTTCCACAATCCAGTCTCTTGGGTCTCTTCCTCAGAGCCAATAACCCACTGGAGCTTCTTCTCCCATGGTCTGCGGCTATACTTAATGTGTCCTTGCCCCAGCCTGGTTCTCTCTGAAGATCTTCCAAAAGCAATAAGAGGACCTTCTTGTCTTGTTACAAGAGACTTCAATAATATGTGTTTTTATAGGAGACCTTAATTTCTTAGTTTTCTGTGAGGCCATCTTAATCTAGTCTCTGGCCTCCTTCCCAGGGACCCTCCCCGTCATTCTGCCTGACACCATATGCATTTGGCTTTGGCCATTATCTTTCATTTTCTGGAACGTTTCCTGTTCTTGTTGGACAGTGAGATTTGCATTCTTCCTCCATCTTCTCTGCTCTTGTTATAAACTTCAAGAGAATCTGGTCCCTCCTGAGACATTACTTTTTGTGAGGAAATTCTTAAGGTCCTCAAGGCCTGGACTGTGCCTTGAGTTTCTCTTGTCAAAGACGTCAGACCCTACATTGTAAGTTCCAGTTTTCTGCCTGTGCCTCCACTAGACCATCAGCTTTAGCAGGACAGGGTCCTTCTGTTTGCTCCCCATAGAATCCACATTAGTTCTTGAGCAGATGAAAGTGTGAAGAGCTGGGGATTGGTTCTACTCAGCTTCCAGATGCAGAGGTAAGAACCATGTCCATATCACTGAAGCACAGAGAAGCTCAGTTAGTCTTTAGAGGGGGGTATGATGGAATGATAGAGGAGTGGACAGTGGTGTGGCTTCTGTACCTGGAGATAAGCTGAAGAAAAATATGAGAATTCTCTCTCCTTCCTCCTCCCAGCCCCCAGGAAGGGCTTGATGATCCCTTTGCTTCTGTTCTCCCTCCCACTCCTTTCCTTCACCTCCTTCCCCCCTTTTTATCTTCCTCATCCCCATCACCTTTCTCTCTACCTCCCTTTCCCTCTCTCTCCTCTTCCCTCTCCTCTGCCCCTCTCTCTTTATTCCTCTGCTTTTTCCATTCCTCATTTGCTTCCCTTTTCTTCTCTTTCATTTCTTATTCCTTCCCTAGAGGTTCTCCCTCCTCATCTCATTTTCTTTCAATTCTCCTCTGTCTCTTTCCC